TAAAGAATTGTGGAACTTTAATAAAATTACGATGCCTTTGTTCAGATATGTTGTAACTGATTGGTCATGGGCTAGCATCAATGCTATCATGAAGTCCTGGAATAATTGCACTGTCCTTGACTATTTGAATACGACATATGATTGTCTCCAAAAAAACCAACTTCTACCCGAAAAAATCACGCCTCTGTTCGCTTGCTATTCTCATTTCATGAAAATGGTTTCTCGTCAACTAAAAACTTTGCGAATTAAACCTCATATATCTGCTATTTATCTAGATAATATTGCCGCTATTATTGTACATTGTCAAACATTTGATACTCTCGTAGATCATTTGGAGATCTTTTTACACCCTGAAAAAAAACATGCTAACAATTCAACTGTTGAAAATAATTTTAAAGGTGTTAAGCTCGAAGGTGAAAAGCAAATGAAGATTGGTAGATTTATCGATGTTTGCTTCTCTCGCTGGACATCCGCTTTTAAAATACTTGATTTGCCTCGGTCTGTTGTTATCATGACAAAAGTTCAAAAAACAAATAAAATTGATGAACTAGATAATAATCAATTATCTGAAGCGTGGAATCGGAATCGATTAAAAAGAAAAGCACCAATTCCTCATCTGTCAGGGTCAAAGATCAGAAAAACTGCTGATCAAATAAAAGAAGAATTGGTTTTCTATAATATACGACAATACTTTGTTGCTTTCACAAAAAATATCAATGATGAAATGAAGTTCATTTATTTGTATGGTGATGATTATAGTACATTATAGGGAAAGAATTGGTTGTCAAATTTCATAATCGACTATTGCGCTAATTTCACTATATTAGAATTAAGTACCCGGGAAAAAATGAATTTGCCTAATCATATATATTTATATATGATTATATATTGAATATATAGAATTATATATAATTATGTATGATTATATCTAAATTTTTATATAAAATATATATAATCATATATAGACTAATATATTGTATGTATATTTTATATAAGTCTATATATAATCAGATCTGAGTTATCTAGGTCTATATATGATTATATATAAATCTATATTTAAGAAATTACAGTTTAATAAATAGTAATAAGAACAATATAATTAAAATACATAAAGGTAACATTTACTGTAAAAATTTATAACAAACATTACATATAATTTGATAACAATTAGCAAAAATATTAGTACTTACTTTTTTGAAAAACAAAGATTAACTTTTTTGCAATATTATTTAAATGTTTTGGCGTGTTAGTAACCCGAGGTTTTTTACCAACATTTTCCGACAACAATGATTTCACTCCGATTTCACCACCAACTTCACCACTTGTAACGAAGACTTTTTCCAATATTTCTAATGAAAGACCAGAATTGGCCATTTTTGTAATAAAAATACCAGATACTTCAGGTTTTAATTTCATTAAACTTAGTTTATTTTTTTCTAAAAGTGGATCTGTTTGCTTTTTTTCAAGAATACGTATTGTCGTTCTAGCCATTTGTTTTAGTAACTCATCTTTTACCCCGACAGCTTGTAAAACTTCTTTCAACATTCGGACATCCGCTTCACCATTGTGAGCACCTTCAATTGATTTATCTCCAAGAAATTTTAAGGCCAAATTTTTTAGCTTGAATCCATTTTTCTCATTTTTACTTTCAGGTAAATGTTTTCTTAAAATAGGTAGAGTATCCGAAAAACTTTTTACAATCGAAAAAAATTCACTCAATAAACCATAATATTTCAAATGACGTAATATCATTAAAGCATCGAATTTAAATGCATTGTGAGCTACTAGAATTAATTTTTTTTTAGTTTTGTTTAAAAAAGCAACAAAACTTTCAAGCCATCTTCAATAGACTAAGTTTCCAGACAAACATTATGTTTATGTAATATTTTTATTATTATTATTTATTGACCATGGAGTCTAAGCCCCCTTGCGGCCATCCATGTTACAAACAATACAATTTTCAGAAATTATTAACAGAAATAATAACATAGAACATTTGAATAACAAAATAAACAATAGATTTACAAAATATGATTAACATTCTCAATAATATGATAGACTATTTAAATAATTTCAATACTAAACAAATAATAAATATATTTAATCAATGTAGCGGTAACGAAATAAATAATTTGAATATTAAATTGAATTAGATTAAAACTATAAATAAGATACAGCAAATGAATAATTAATTTAACAGTCCCCAAGCAGCATAAGTCAATCAGGCTTATCAAGAGCAAACAATTAAACTCATCAGTGGTGAATATGAAAATTAATAAATCTCGATAAATCTCGGCTGCGCCTCGGTTTTGCAAAACCCTTTCCACGGGGAAGGTTGAGTATATTATAACTATGATTAATGCAAATATCAATCAATTTTAAGTGTTAACCACTCAAATCGGTTAGTGAAAAAATTAAGACATAACAAGTGCTTCAGTTTTCATCAAATTTACAACAAATTACGACGTTCTTAAGTTAAACGTTCATACATGTTATGAACAAGTCTACTGAATTCAAAGGTGTAAATGCGCATAATTAATACAATTGATTGTTTAAGTACTTTGATCGGTGCACGTATTTTTTTATGATTAGTTTTGCAAATTTTGATACATAATTCAATAATAAAACACGCAATTGCACAAAACAAACCAAGAGCCAGCAGAACAAATGCAAAATTCACATCTGTGAATTGAACAGGTCGATAACGGTCAAGAGTTCTTTCTTGCAATATCTCAGAAGTCTTCTTAGTCTCTTTCGTTACCAAATTGAACCATCGCTCCATTATACCAGATTGAATTGCCCACATTATAATATTGTTAACACGTTCTCTCAACGCCCAATTGTGTCTCATAAGCAATGAACCGTAGCCGAAGTTGAGGATATTTATTTCTTTCGATTCGGTCGGTCAAATTCTAAGTATTTTAATTTATTTCAAAATTATTTTTCTTTTCCTCATTAAACTCGTTCGAAACTTGAAATAATTTTCACATTCTTCATACTAATAATTTTATCGTGAAAATAATAAAATAATAGTAACCAGAAATACCGTGTAAAAAATCAAAATCGATTCGTTCGTTCGGGAGATGTCATTGACGAAAAATTTCGAAGAAAGTGTTCTTTTCAAATAACTTCAAAATTTCTTATCGGGACGTTTCCGATGTAAGATAATAACTATTAGTACTTAAAAAACTGTATTGAACACCGTTAATCTCGTCAAAATTGGCTAAATCGTTCGTGAGATATTTCGTTTTTAAAAATTTCAAAAAAGTTTTTTCTTAACATAACTTCAAAATTTTACGTCAAATCGTTTCGTGGGTAATGCATAATCTTTTTGGGCTTAAAAAACTGCGTCGAATGTTGTAAGCCTTCTAAAAAATATTTGATTCGATCGGGAGATATCACAATTAAAAATGATCAAACCGTTGTATTTTTGAGCTCGAATAGCTCAAAACTTCGGAATGGATGATTCCTTGAGATTCCTTGTAGGGTCAACCGTTTTTCGATTGTTTTTTTTTTTAAATTCAAGACATCATCTATTGAATTAATAAATTAAAACTCTAAGAAGAGCAAAAAGTTTTCCAGAAAAATTTGACTATTTTAAGTTCAACAGTTTATCTCTCGAATCAAGTTAATTTTTTTCAGTGTGTATTTGATAGTACTAACCATAATAACGTCTAGTTTCTTCAGAATATTGAGCTTTAAAACCGGTCCAAGCTTTACCATTTTTAGTAATAATTTGATCATGTTTTTTCCAAAATCCCGACGCGTAGTCTGAGTATTTATTTATAGTTTGTATATTAATCGATCTTTGTCCGGGAGTTTTGCAGCAATAATAAATTTTCGAAGTCTCAAATAAAAATTGAAACGGTTCATATTCAATTATCACTTTGGTACAATCATCTTTTACGTATAGAAACATGGTTTCTATTTGAATTGTCGATATATTCGTTGATAAAAGTATCGAGGGCACTACCATGTTACGTTTAATAACTGTTACAGAAAATTTCATTCTTCGAACGGACGCCTCATAAAATAATGTAGAGTTATTCAGCAGAACAATGTCAGCATCAGTTTCATCATCCAGTTTTCGAAAAATTTCATCGTCCCCCCAGAATCCGATGGTTCCGAATTCGGCTCCGCAATTGTTAAACAAATCTCCCTAATTTTGAACAAAATTCATTAAAATTAACCATCAGGTATTCGTTATTTATGATAATTGATGAAGATAAATTTATCAGCATATTGTTAAACAAAGTTAATCCATCTTCAGATGCGACCTCGATTTTTGCAATCGCTAAATTTTGAATCAGCACAGCGACAACTACTATAAGTGTTTTCATTATAACAATCATTCTTGTTAACACTCGCACAGACAAAATTCAATTGATGATTGAATTCAGAACATTTTCTTTCTTCTAAGTAAATATTGTATTCTTTTGTATTATGTTGTGTTTATATTTACTAAAAATGCTGTATTTACTCAACCGGCGTCGAACTTTTTTATTATTTATAAAAAAAAAATTACGGAGGTGGTTCGCTTACTAGTTTCAAAGTGACAGTTTTCTATTCAAAGTTTTTCGATAATTCCTTACTATGTTCCTTATCAATCAGGACATCGACTAAGCTGTCATTATAAAACGCAATCACAATCATTTCACACAATTGTAATCAAATAGTCTGCCTACGATCAGACGAAATGTTGATATTTATATTTTGACATAAATAAACATAAAATTATAGACATTATATCTGACTGAGTTGCTACACCGTTTTTTTTTTTTGATTTATAAAATACATATTAATAATTTTCAATAGAACCATACTTTTTTAATAAAAAACGTTGGTTTTTAAAAAATATGCTTCCTTTTGGCATGCAGACCGTGATAAGTGCAATTTTAAGCGCTTAAGTATGGAATTAGCGGGAAGTTGCAGGTTGATGGTCTTTAGGGTCAACCATTTTTTTAATTTTTCCATATATATGAAATTTTTTTTATAATAATTTAGTAATCAGAGATATCATAAAAATTGTCAGTGTTAATTTTAGTATCATTATAAAAAATTGGGTATGGTGAGAAATAAATTAAAAGAACAGTTTTTCTTTTATTTAAAAAAATCATTTTTAATTTTAAAAAGTAATTGTTTTATTTTATTTACAAAACGTCTTACAGTTAATTAGAACATGGTCATTTAACGCTAACAGTTACAACAACAACAATAAATAATAGAATCTGCAATAATCTTTTTAACGTTTTACTTGAGCAATACTAATTAAGCATTTGATAAATAAATAGATAATAAATAATAATCATAATAATAATAACGAATGAATACCACATGAAAATAATAATTTCAAATGGCAAAATACATAATAACCATTAAAACAATACAATTTACATTAGTCATATTTATTCCACCAGTACTAGCTACTCTATCACCATCATTTTGATTATCAACCGATCTCTGCGTTCGTAGATGATTGAGGTTAGAATTTTCATAGCTCTTCGCCGAGTAGCCTTGATCATTCTGCTGGGTATTCCCAGGAGCTATATTGCTGACAAACGGTGGGAATTTTTTGAAATTTGAATTTGAATTTTGTTTTTCATTGTAGTATCGTTTATTATTATTATTATTATTATTATTATTATTATTATTATTATTATTATTATTATTATTATTATTACTATTCAATTTATCATTAGCTTTCTTAACAAATTTCTCTTCATCAAAACCGTTCTTAATGATAGGCTTAAATCCACCTTCAATAATAATAGAATCAGGATTAAAACCCTTTTTATCACCAAAACTCTCACCAATATCCTGACGTCTCTTCTCTTCAAATTTTCTATTAATATTATTGTTGTTGTAAAAATTATAATTATGCTGTTTGTACACTTGATTTGGATTTCTCGGTATCGCTAATTTTATGTTTTGGTTATAGTTTCCACCACGTGTATCTGGAAGTAATTGATACGGATTATAAGAGGGTTGCATTGGGTTCGTGATTTTCATTAATGACTGCTCTTGGTGTTTTAGCTCATCCTCCTGATAATTGTTACGTTGCAGCGATAATGGCGATGGAATTAATGATGTTGATGATGATGATGAAGATGGTAGCGGCGATTGCCAGCGCATTGGGATATCATGGCCATTGCGATATTGATGAGGTTGATGAAGTTGATAATGTTGGTATTGGTTCAAAGGGTATTGATGATATGATTGGTGCATTTGAGTTTGTTGCGGTTGGTACATTTGCTTATTGTGATGCGATTGGTAATAGTTTGGATAGGGCATATTTGGCGGGAACATTTTCAACTGCGTTTTTGAAGAAAGCGGCATTGCTACTGGGTAATTGTTGTTAGTAATTATTTCATTGCTTATTGCATTGATAGGGTAGCGTTGATTTCCTGGATCATGATGATGAAGCTGATGATGATGCTTAGAATCTTGATATTGGAACATGGGTTTGGATTCTTGATGAAGGAATTGTGGTTTAGATTCTTGATGATGGAATTGCGGCTTAGATTCTTGATGAAGGAATTGTGGTTTAGATTCTTGATGATGGAATTGTGGTTTAGATTCTTGATGAAGGAATTGTGGTTTAGATTCTTGATGATGGAATTGTGGTTTAGGTTCTTGATGAAGGAATTGTGGTTTAGATTCTTGATAAAGAAATTGTGGTTTAGATTCTTGATGAAGGAATTGTGGCTTAGATTCTTGATGATGGTACTTAGGTTTAGGTTGATAAGATTGATGTTCATGATGAATTTCAGGATTATCTTGATATGAAAGAGCTTGGGGTTCAAATTGATGACTTTTAGTTTTATGGTTATGATATTGTGGGTTAGTTTGATGTTGATAAAGCTGATGCTGGGGTTGATGTTGATGTTGATAAAGCTGCGGCTTGTAATGATGAGGCTGGAGCTGATGCTGAGGTTTATGCTGATAAGGTTTAGGTTGGGGTTGATAACTAGTTGCTGTTACCTTAGTAGGTGTTGGGACGCTTTCATCAACTTGAGAATCGGGTAGCACGTAAGATTGGTGGGTTTGAGATGCTGATCCTTCGGGTTCATCACAGCTGTCAAGGACATTGATTTTCCAACCTAGGTAACGATGAGTAAAGCACTGGGAAGAAATATTTGAACGTTATCAAGGTTTTTAATTGGAATTTAGAACTTAGTTTTAGGAAGCAAAGAAGTGGTTACTCACCTGATAATAAACAGTTTTTGGAGTGTCTTTATCGGGAGTCCATCTGATGAAGCCGGGAGTACCCGGTTCGCAGATAAGTGTTAAAGAACGTTGGAATGCACCGAAAGAAGCATAACTATCAGCTTCCGGTGCGTTGGGATCATGGACCCAACTGCAATACCGTCCAACACCGTTTGGTACTAAGTTAGAACCTCGACGTTCAACTCCAGCGAATATCTTGACCTTAGCTCGTTCTTCGGGACTCTTGTGCATGTAACCACCAACTGAATCGTCGGTTATGTAGAATGGATGGTACTTGGCGGGTATATCGGGGTCATCTCCAGCTTCTATTACGAAGGTATATTCACGACCACGAACTACGTTTATTTCGGGTATTAATAAACCGTTTATGTACCAAGAAACTCCCCAACCAACATGACCTGGAAAATAAGTACTATATATTAGAAGTTTAGAATATTAAATTTCTTATGTTTGCCCTTGAATAAATTTTAAAAGAGTAAAATTGTCAAAAAATTATAAGAAACTTTTTTTGTACAGCGTTTAATTCCCTAAAAAAAATTTTTTGATTATACTTTTATGAAAATCTGTTTATGAGTTAAAAAATTACAAAGTATAAAAAGAAAATTTTCCCATGTTAATCAAACTGAAAATTGAAAATCGCTATGAGAAACCTCTTAATAATGAAACTAAGAACTGCTGTTTTCACAGGGTCATTTTTTCGACGTTGTAAACAATATTTTTAGGGTAATTTTTGAAAAATATAGTCGAATTTTGGATACAGTCTATTACGTATGCAATAGTAATATTTCATCAAATAATCATTAACGTGTCGGTAATTTTCGGTCAAAGATAAAAAAAAGATATGAAAATTGAAGCTTATTTTATGAGATTTAAGATGCGTTTTGTAGAAATTCTATAAATTATTGCATTCAGAAGTTATTTTTGGAAGAACATAAAAATAAGTTTTTTTGAAATTTCCAAAATTTTTGAATTTATCATTTCTAAACGACCTAAGTGTCAGACAAAAAAAATATTTTGGTATATTTTACTCAACAAGAAGTCAAAAATTAATAATGGTCAACTTAAACTCAACACAACATTAACAAAAAGTAATTTGTGCCGCTTGGGTACCCTGATAGCCAGCGCTTCCTCAAAAAGTAGTTGACTTCCATTAGTTACGATTAACTTAACATCAAGTTGACGGTAGTTCTTCACTGAATAACAGTTGTAAACAAATTGACAAAAATTTATGGCTGCAATTTAAATGCAAATTAATAATCAAACTTGTGGTTAAGTTTTCTTTCAACTTTACTACAACTTGACTGAAATACCTGCACAGAAGTCTTGATATCAAATTGCAGAGTAACTTATAGGCAACTGAAACCGCTCGCTTTTCTAACTCTTTCCGTGAAGTTGGCTTCAAATTGCGGACGTAGATTGACAGCAAGTTTCAGTTAAGGTGACTATCAGGGTAACTACGTATCTATACACTGATAAAAAATTTAACTTGATTCAAGAAAAAAGATCTTGAACTAAGAGTACCATTTTGAAGGGAATCATTTTCTTGATTCAAGAGAAAAAATTTTTAAGTCAAGAAATTATTCTCAATTCAAGAATTTTTCCTTTTGACTCAAGAAAATTATTTTCTTCAAAACGGTATTCTTGATTCAAGATTTTTTTCTCTTGAATCAAGTCAAATTTTTTATCAGTGTACTAATAAATGGAGAGCCGGTTTTATTGTTCGGTTATACTACGAAAACTACTCAACCGATCGAAATAATACTTATACCATAAGATGCAGCGTGTTTCGGAGAAGGTTTTAGTATATGATATGTCGGTTATTACTTATCCGGAACCTATATTTTTTTGACTTAGAAATAATGAATTTTTATTGTAACTAAATTTATCCTATTCGATTGTCATTTGTTTAAAATAAATTTTTTAGTTCTATTGGTTATGTTTATATACTAGGCAGATTTTTTCACTTATGAGACCTGCAATTTCTTTAACTGAAACTTTTAATGTTCATTACAAACTTTTTTTTTCATATCAATTATTCATTTTTGTAAGAAAGACACGGAAATGTGATAATGATTGCACATTGAACGTTACAATGAATATTAGCTAGAATAATTACATGGATAAAAGACACATGCCAATTTGATAGAATTGGGAATCTCTGAAAGTCAAAACAATACTCTAATTAAATTTTAAGTCTAGATCTAAAAATGCAATTCTATAAAGCGCCCAGCGGAGCGGGCGAGTAACAGCTAGTAAATAATAATATATTCCCATTGAGTGAGACTCGATAAAGAGCAAAATTTTTAAAAAGTTCCATCATTAAGGACGACTGCAATAGTTAGATTTCTATGAAATCAACTAAAAATAAAAAGTACCTGTTATCGCTGGGTAACCATGTTTACCACCAGTAGGACCTAGCTGCGCATAAAAGTTACCATCTTCTGGTTCATAGCACTGAATGGGTGGAATTTCCCACGCATTGGCAGTTGATGCGGGTGCTGGAGTAGCTGTATAAGTTCTAGGTCGGGAAGTTGGCCGACGAGTGGTTGGCTTTACTGGAATATCTTCTTCAATATTTTGCTTGTGATTGCTGTTACCGGTGGTGTTGGTAAAACTGCTGATATCTTCGGTAGGTCTCGGGCTGTTTTTATTTCTATGATTACGATCATGACTATGATTACGGTTATGATTATTGTTGGTGTTAGTGGCTTGAGTATCACTGGTTTGTTTCTTCGGAGGACTAGAGAAGTCTTCTTCATATTGATCGTCATCGGTCTCAGGCATTGGGCAATTCCAGGCGGCAGGTCGTCCAAATTCAATTAATTTGTCGCTCTTGAGATAGTGAGTGTGGAAGCTGACCTCATTTCTTTCATTTAATGGACCAATACCCCAAATAATTGCTTGGGAACGGTTTGTTTTTATCTCGAGATCCAATTCATCGGACGCTTTTAATGGTCTTTGGTATGTTATTATGCTGTAGCCATTTACCATTGCAGCGTTTAGTAAACGTATTGAATTTGTTGAGTCCTTTAAACGGAAAATTAATTGAGTTAGTTTTTTTATTTGACTTTTGTTTATTTATTTTTTTTTTAGCTAGTTTTTTTTATTTGCTCTGTTTAATTTGTTCTGCTGGGGATTATTTGCGGATTCTTTTAGGATGTGAATAAATTATTCGAGAAGTAATAGGATGTTGATACTCTCGAAACAGTGAACGAAATAATCCAGGGAAATTTAATGGTTCGAAAAAAATAAACGATAAATTGTTTGCAATTTTAATTTTTTTGATACACTGATAGAAGAATTTATTAACTGTACAAATTCATTTATTTAGAAACGATTTAATGATTTATTGGTTTAAAAAAAAGTTAAAACTTTTGATGAATATTTTTTGGGAAAAAAAGTATATTTATTAATAGTTAATAAATTTAATTTAATAAGCGATTTATTGACTGTTGATAAATTATATTCTTCAACTGTTAATAAAAATTTATCGATTTTTAATAAATTGTATTGAAGAAATAATTGAATCTAACTAACTGCTTATTAACTGTTAATAAATACTTATTAAATGTAATTTTTTGACAGTAAATAAAGCTTGTTAAATATTAACAAATTCTTCTATCACAAGAAAAAAATTTATTTTTAATAATTATCAAGAATATATTTTGTTAGAATAATTGATCGAATTGATAAAAGTAATTTTTATTAAATTCAAGTTAAACTATTCGTTCAACTATTTTAAAATGAAAGTAAATATTTTATAATGAAGATCAAATATTGATACATTTTTTAAAAAATTAATAAATTTAAATGGTTCATTTCAACAAATTCTAGAACTAAGAAATTATTTTCTGGATAGTAATTTGTCTTATCAGTGTAGTTTACTTCAGAAATTGATATTATTTATTTTGAAGTTTTTTTTACAAATAAAAAATATTTAGTTTTCTTCTTTCATATTAAATTTTAATAAATCATAACTAAAAAAAGAGCAGAAAATTTAATTCCGTTACTTTCTAATAAAAAGTCTCAAATACGTTGAAGTAAAAATTTGGCTTTTTAGAAAAATTTTTTTGGTATTTTGAATGAAAAAATTTTTTCTTCAACAAATAATAAAACTTTCTTAATAGAAAACAAAATTATTGTTATTTTTGAAGACTTGTTCGAAGATAAAGAATATTATAAAAGTAAAATAATAATTGAAAGCTTTTCATCAACATTTTATCCAGAAATTTACTCTTCTCATGACAATACTTATCAATTACGAATGCAACATCCCAATTAAGCTCAATTATGCCAATGATCAGCATTAGAATTCTCATCAATATTAATTACGGCCATTAGTAGTATAACTGCGCTCATTAGAATATTTCGCTAGTTACGGGTACTAAAAAATTTTTGTTTCTATCACTTATTATTTCTTCATTTTTTAAAAGTAGAAATTCAAATTATTTTAGACGTGTCTTTAATTTAATTTTTTTTTTTTTTTTTTAAGATAATTATTTATTATTAGAATAAGTATATGAGAATTCTTCGAATAAAAAATTTATCAATCAAAATGAAAGCTCGATAAGTAATTGTTGATTTTTTTAAAAAACTTGAGAAATTTTTTTTTAATAAAAAACTTTTTAGTGACACAAAGCTTGTAAATTAATATTTTTTTTTCTATTTATTAATAAATTTTGAGATCAATTAGGGCTGGGTTTTTTTTGTGAAATTAAAATACTTCTTCGTTGCGTGGAAAAAAAATTGAAACGTTCATTTTCTTTAAATATAGCAACTCTTTTCAATCTATAATCCTGGAAAAAGTAATAAAAAAAGTTTTGTCACAGAGCCCATATTTAATACTGGTATTTTTGCCAAAACAGAGAAACAAAAAGAAGTGAAACTCCCAAAAATAATAACAACAACAATAAAAATAAATAAAAAGAAGAAAATACCTGTATACGAGTATCCGGACAACTACCACGTTTACCAGAACATTGTGATTTACCGTCTAGTATATAATCAATCGCGTACCCTTGCAATGTCTCTTTGTCAACCCAGGCCACTACAACATCGCCGCCCACCATCAGACTACGCTCTGGATTAGCTGACAACCCGAATGACATGTAATTATTGTCATCTAAAAAAGTAACAACATTAACATTAATATCTTGATAATTAAATTCATTTCGTAGCATTATAATTTTGTTCATTTGCAGAACGAAGAAGAAATGATAATAATTTAAATTTAAATTGCCATAATTACCTAAACGTGAGACAAGTTGTACAACAATACTTTCACCAGCAACGGCCCATCTTACCTCAAATGTTAAATTATCGTCGAGTACTTCACAATTTAATTTCGACTGAAAAATAAAGTTGATAAGAAATTAACACATTTTTTGGTAAAAAAGTTTATATCTGATCATCTTTCAATTGAAAAGAAAATTTTTTTATCACGTATAGAGGATATTCAGGTTAATTTTTAAAAATTTTGAATCATAATATTTACAGAGGAAATATTAATGAATAAATTAACAAAAAATTCTATATAAAAAGAAGAAATATCGTAGATTTTCAATTGATTTTTCTTCTTACACTTAACGTTTAAAATTTAATATTAAATACAATCCAAACGGCTATCTAAAATTGTTATTTGTTTTCTACAGAATTAGTCAATTAATTTACCAAAAAAAAATTAAAAAAGTTTGGAAAATCCAAAAGTGCAGGCCACATAATCTCATTTTCTATAGTAAAATTGATTAAAATACAAATACTTTTAAATCTTTTGCGCTATTATCCACCCAGAAAAGAAAGGTACTATGCATGTGTTGTAAACGAACCTTATTTATATAGATATAGATATACAAACGATATACAAGTGAATTTTAGTTCATCGCTAATTATAACTAAACTATATTGAATTAGACCGTAATCTTCGAAAGAACTTAGTTTTAGACAATACTGAAGCGTATAAAAAAATGGACTTGATCAGTTAAGTTTTTTGACACATATCCTGATCACGCCAGTTTCCATACATACATTTGACACACGGACGTGTTACGTCCAGAGTGACGCAAACACAATAATTATGTTTATTAGGTTCCGAATTTTAGAACTAGCTACTGAAAGCTTTCGTTCAGGGTGGCGGGAACCTCGCCAATAGGTATTTTAATCGAGTACGCGGGATACTATAATTTGTCAAAGGATGGCCGATAAGCAATGGTTTGAAATTAATTAATACTTATAATTCACTCTTTTACCAATAACAATTAGACTAGGTGGTTATATTTATGTAAGGAAAGTAACAAATTATACCTGGTTTTTGGACAATAAAAATGTGCGATGAAAAGCTGTCTACCCGCTGGCTCGTGCTGACTTGATGCAGGTAGAAAAAGGGATAGTACCGGAGATAAATGATTTTCAATACCGTAAATTCGTTTTATGAATTACTTTTATTCAAAATACTCAATGTTAATAACTGATATAGTGATATAATTAAGTAAAGGTTATTTAACTGACTGGAATTATTCATAGTTCTAACAGCGATTTTAATTAATTTTCGGTTTGCATTGAATAAGATTTTAAGTTAATCTCAAATTATATAAATATATTTTACTCTTTTACTAATCATAAACTACCTATGTGTGATTAAGTATTAAATAATAATTTTTAGAGTCTTGAAAATGTTTAACGAGAATTTCTCTTTACGTTTATTACTGTTTATTATTATTCACAAAGCACGTGGTATTATTTACTTAATATTTCTTTTACCTGGGAAAGGTATTACCGAAGATAATTTACAATAGGTTTCAATTCACCGAAATAACTATCGTATCTTTTATTCGAATGATTTCAGGATGACAGTTTAGTTGATCGCAGGATTTTTATAATGATTTTTAAATCCGCGTCCGATTTGAATGATTTAATTAAACCGGGCGGGGGATGGAGATATACTCGTTCTAAAATCTTTATTTCGTATTTTAAAATTGCGTCTAATTGTTATTCTATAATATTTTCTTCTACCTGAGAAAAGGTATTACCGAAAGTAATTTGAAAAGAAACAGAATTTAACAAATGGAATTACCGCACTTTTGTGAAATAAAATTATATTTAGACAAATATAACTTGGTCGCAAAAATTGTTAGACTAACGCGATACGTTCGATAATAAGTTTTGATGTTGTACCCCGTAACGTTCGCGGGTAAATTTTATACTGAACCCCCGTAACGTTCGCGAGTAAGCTCGCTGTTGTGCCCCGCAACGTTCGCGAGTACGGTTGGTGTTATATCCCCCCTTGGCTAGCGAAAAACTTGCGGTTTATATACGATACCGAGTTCTTTGTCTGGGATACTCGCCTACGTTCCCTCTTTTGGAAGGGGGCATCACGCGAGGAGCCATATTGGAATAATTATGTATCCAAGATGGCCGCGGAGGGGAAGTTCTTGTGGAGTACGTGCATCGAACGTTGTAAAATTACTAAAAATAGCTTCAATGTCACTGAGGACAAAGGGGATCGCTTCATAGTTATAGAGAGTAAACCAAATGAAATAAAAGAAAAATTTACGGTACATAGTCCAAGTTAAATATTAATTTGGGGAATGAAATAATTTTACTGATAATTTGAATTATTATTTTAGAAATCTTTAAGGAAATAATTAGGGTTTTCTCTAACCAACATAGTTCAATTTAAGGGTTAATCTTTTATGACGGGCCATAAAACTCTCATGTATTTTCCTAAAGTTTTTAAGGGTACCGCTAGAAACATGGGGTTAGTATGTCGAAGTTCCTTTGGTAAAAGGGGTAATGCAATTTCCCTTTTAAACATAATTTATGATGCTTCTATATTTTTTTTATTATTGAGTTTTTCGAAATACCCCGTCCAGATGTTAGTGAAATGAATGTTTAAAGAAACAGGAATTATTCCTGGGAAGCAAATATTCTCGAACTAGCTCTGGGTTAACTGAGCACCATGGGATAATTTATAACGTATCGGTTAAAATAGTGACATCCTGGAGAAAGAGAATTTAAAATGAAAATTTTAAGTAAGAAGTAGGTTAATGTATAGACCGTGGATAATTGTAAAAAATATATTTTTTAAAGAACGAAATTATAAAAGTTAGTTAGGCGCGTTTCCTTTATTCTAAAATTATGGGATCTTTCCGAGAAGAACAGCCATGTTGGTAAAAGCGTGCAGGGGGTCTCACTAGGGTACGCGTTCTTGGTACCAGGGTACATAAAACTATGTAAGCCACCTGGGTCTACTCGAATTGGTAGTTGGGTTACTTAAATCCCGCCCATTTGGAGAATGGGGCAACGTGGCCTAAGTTTTTCTTTGTTACCAGAGGGGACGGAATTATGGGAGCGAGTATCGTTGTTTTAACGAAGAATATTCTAGCCTCAGTGTTGGAATATTATTTATCATGAATGTAGTTTCTTCGGGTTTTAGAGTACTTTTAAATAATTTTGAGATTATTGTTCATTAATAAAAATGAAAAAAAACTTAAGGCGCGCAGTAGCCTATCGGATCCGGCCCTTGCTATCAAAGCATTGGACCGGGTTCGAATCTGGCGTACACCAATGAATATTTTCAATATTTAAGTGTATTATTCTGCTCAGCCCAAGAAATACAAACGAGTTCCAATCTCAAAAGTTTACCCCTTACCGTAGTCGCTCATGACCTTAGTAGTTTATGCGACTTTAAACAAATCAAAAAAAAAAAAAAAAAAAAAAAAAAAAAAAAAAAACTAGTTACGCTGGCCGTAACAGACGTCTACGGAGTAATTTTTTTTATTTATTTAAAAAGCAAAATGTCTTTTAAAAATGTTATAAACGTTGAAGCTAGTGTTTTTCCATGACATTTACAAGTAAATATTGTTCTAAAAGTGCGATAGAGAATAAACAACTTTAGATAAAAAAATCGCTTGATTTTTGTAAGGCAAGTGTAGAGCACAACCTCATCCGCTTCGTTTATGAGGCGTGCAATTCTAAGCTGGTAGACAAATATTTATGCTTTGTCTTCACATAAAATTTTTATAAATTTTTTTCTTAATGAATTGAAAATAAATTCTTAAAAGATAAATACACGGATAGTAATATATTGTTAAGATAAGTATATTTTGGCTGTACACTTTATACTAATTTTTCTTAGCGATACGCCGTATAGCTAGTTTAGTTGTGCAGTGTTTCTTTACGATAAATTGTCTAAATTACGATCGTAGAATTTATTTCAGGCGTTGATGAATTTCTTAAAATTACTATTATTACAAATGATGAAAAATTAAATTTTATTAAAATTAAAGAATCAAGTAACATGAAGCTAACTTTTATAGAATTAAAATCCATGTTTATAATTAATAAAATAATTTGAAATTTGTCAAATTATTTTTGATAAAACTTAATTAATAATTTATAAAATATAATAAATTTTTTAAATGTATTTTTAGTTCATGCAATTCAAGTACAATTTCCCGTGAAATAATTTTATCATTATTATTAATTATATAATGACGATATTGATAGATTTTATAATTAAATTAGAATTGTGGAATGTTTTAATTAATAGGAAATTTAATCAATGCACTGTTTGAAAAATTAAAAGTATTAATAAAATTTATGCATTTTTCAAAAAGTAATCATTTTAAATTTTATCGGCTCTTCAGTAAATTTTTTATAGAAATTCAAAATACGAAAAAAATTAAAAGAAAGAAAAAACAAAACAAAAGTAATCAACGTTTTTTTTAAAACAAATTAATTATTAATTATTAATTTTTAATGCAATATAAATTACTAGTTTCTTCAATGGAGGATTCAAATAATAATTACGATTATTATAATTGTATTTTACCTGAAAAGGACAAATTTTTTAAATTTAATAATTTGCAACCCTGAATCAACTAATTATTAGCCCTAAAAAATTAAAAACGTTTCTATAAAAGGCAAAATTGCGCAAAATCTGCGATTTCTGGAGAGTCTGAATTCTCATCGGATAGTCAATTTAGCTAATACAGATCCTAGCGTTGACAAAATAGTTGTCTCTACTAAGTAAACTGCGTTTGCTTATACGAGCGCCATTCGTTGCATGTTTGAGCTTAACAAATGAATCCTGAAATCAAATAACCGAATCGTAATTCTAACTAAACTTCGTTGGAAGATATTCTGGCTCGCCATTCTGACAATATTTTTTTCTTTTTTTACGGTTTTAAGGTAGTACCCTCAGTTAGAGATTTACCGTTTAAAATTTGATGAAATTTGACGTATTAGTGAATTACAGCAAGATAATAAGCCGTCTAAATTTTTGAAAAGCACAAGAGAACAGTAAAAAATATCGGACTTTTAAAGTTGTAGAATTAAAAATTGAGTCTTATGAGAAATGACAGTTTTTATTTTATTTTACAAAAAGTGACGTTTAGATCTTAATAAAAATTTAGGTGATGAGAAGAAATAACATATTGAATATTTTGCGTAATTAAAAGTACATATTCAGAGCATGGGATAGTAATAATAATAATTAATAAAAAAAACTTTCAGAAGTTATTTTTGTCTTTCTTCCTCTAATGCAACTTTGTATACACTGATAAAAATATGACTTGATTCAAGAAAAACTTTTTCTTCAAAATGTCATTCTTGTTTCAAGTAATTCAATTCTCGTAACTTAAAAATTTGATTCTTAAATCAAGAAACTTGGTTGTTCTAAAATAAGATATATACAACTTCGTTCAAAAATTTCTTTCTTGGATTAAGATAGACGGTAACATTGGTTTAAGATATTACCGACTTGTTCCAAGTATGGTGCGACTCTTGAATTAAGATATTATTTTATTTGTTTGAAGTATATAAATTTTTGTTATTCTCTGTATTAATAAATATTTTTCCGCATATGAAAAATACAAATTTTTTTACTTCAAAGTTTTTTTCTGGCTAAAACTTATAACATTATAAATAAAAAAATTTGTTCTTGAATCAACAATCAATAATTCTTGAAATGAAATAAAATTATTCTTTCTTGAAGAAAATCGTTTTTTAATAAAGAATTCACTTGTATCGATCGAAGATAATATAGTCTTGAGCCAAGTAAAAATGTTATCGATCGGAGTGATTAAATCTCTCACTCCAAGAAACATGAAATCAAGAAGAAATTCTTGAAATAAGACAACTAGTTCTTTTCAAAATAATTTTCTTGGAGCAAAAATATTGTTCTTGAATGAAAATATTTTTTTTCTGTGTCGAAAAATTAACTACGTAAAGCAAATGAAGCTTTGTATGGAATATTTGACACTTGTGGTCTCTGTGATACTACCTTAAGAAGCTACACTGAAATTCTTTTGATTAAATAATAACTAATTTCAATAATTCATTAAACTTACTTACTTGAATTGTTTTAATTAGACACAAGTGACAAAAAATTCATGTTAAAAACTGATCTAGTTATACTGATTATAGTTAATATTCGAAAGAAAAACCCAATTTTAGGATCATCATTTAAATGTTCAGCACACTGAAAAAAAAGTTTTTTTCCACCTAGGAAATTTTTCCCTCCAGTAAAGAAACTGGTATACCTGTGTGGAGAATAGTCAAGTTTTTTTCCTACACTATAATAAGTATGGTGATTTTTAAAAAACTCGGTTTCCTTCTCAGCAAAATACCAAAATAAAAATATGGCCGACTTAACCTCATTTGACACAGATGCATACGATATGTTTATGATATGGTGGATCTTTTTTATTATAATTAATAAATTAATAATTATTAATTTATCAATTATAATTAAATTTAAGAAAACTAAATAAATAAAATTATAATAATTAAAATTATAATAATTAAATTTAAGAATGACACTGAAGTTGACAGACATTAAAAATTTTTTTAGAATTTTATGGCAATTAAATTATTATAAAAAAAAAAAATTAATTAAAAAATTCCACATGGGAAAATTAATAAAAATAAACAATAAATTAGTATATACAACTTTCCTATGATCTAAACAAACACACCAGGACTGTGAAATTGGAGGGAAGTTAGAGAATTGGCGGCGCCACCGCTGCGGTTGCTATGGTAACGCAGTATAAAGTTTTAGCTCCAGAAAAAAATTAGGTATTCTCAGGAGAAAAATACCAGTTTTTTTATATCAAGAAAACGTATATTGGATATAAAAAAACTTGGATAAAAATACTTTGTATTCTGGGTGGAAAAAAACTTTTTTTTCAGTGCAGTCGAGTATATCTTTTTGGTTCTTTGCGTACAAATCCGGCGATTTCTAACTTTTTCAAACTACTTAAAAAAATTCATGTTTTTCTACTTAAATTTTTATTGTAATCATTTTTATTTGTATAAATTACACGTGATAACATTAAATATAATTTATTTAGTAGTAACAAAAATAAAAATATAGTAATAAATAATTAATGAATTAAGGAGAATAAGAAACATATGATTCAAGACGTTGGTTACCATGAAAATTTCTCAAATGTGCATAAGAACCTCTTTGACTATTATTATTGTTGTTTTTGTTGTTATTTTGGGGGTATTGAAATGCGGCGGAGGGTAAAGCAGATTGAATAGTTGATAAGTCAGAACTTTTCCCAGGGGTGCGATCAATTGATTGGTGGTTGTGTTGGTTGTGAATTATTTGGACGTGAGGATGAAAAGCTGCTCGACGATTATTCGATAGCAGACTAGTAGGAGGACGATAGGTCGTTGGACGTTGAAACTCATTTATCAGCAAAGAAGCAGTATCAAACGTAGGGTGGTGTTGGTGGTCGGATATGTGGGAAGAAGTAGTAGAATCAGAGTCAGAAGAAACGGAAGCAGAAGAAGAGGCAGAAGAAGAAGAAGAAGATTGCGTCAAATACAGCTCGTGAGGTTGATTATACGGTCCAATCTGACCCTGCACCTGTTCTAAATTCTGTAACAGGACAGAGACAGTTTACCGATAAAACTTTTTTCTCATTTTTTCATCGATATAACATTTTAAATCCAATTGTCAAGGTGATTTTCCAATTAGCTTTTTATACTTCGCTTCACTTTCAAGATACTTTTTATCGAGATGAAGTTTTTTTTTTCAATGCTCGGTGTTTTTATTTGAAAAATGATTCGTTTTTCATCGATACTAATTTTCGAACGATTATCTGAAGATTTTTTTTTTTTAATAAACTACTTGATTCAAGAAGAATATTTTCTTCAGAATGTTTATTTTTAATTCAAGAAATTAAATCTTCAATAAATTAAAAATCATTTTTTTCGAGAATTTTACTTCATTGTTTTCAAAAAAATCAGTAAATATAAATTAGTCATTAATTTGACGTCGATCTTTATTGTTAATTAAAAATTAAAAAATGTAAATTTGTGATACCAGATATGTTAAAGTAAAAATTTTGTTTTGTGTAAAGATTTTTTTTCTACTTTGAATTAAAAAAATTAGCTTTTGAATGAAGCATATGAACTTCGAAGAAGAAAAAATTATTTTTAGTTTTGAAAAACTGTTTTTTGGTTGAAGAATTTTCTGTATCGACCAAAGATAATATACTTAAGAATCAAGTAGTAATAGTTATCGATTGAAATTGTTGGTTTCTTAATTCGAGATGAGGAAATTCAAGACAAGAAATTCTTGAAGACAACCGGTTGTCTTGAAACTAAGTTTCTTGAAAGAATTATTTCTCTTGAATCAAGGTAATTTTTCTATTAAACTAGAGTCATTTGTTTCTTTAAAAAGGTAAGGAATCATAGTCACTCGCTTTTATAGTTTCATATAATATAACATATATAACAATATTCATCATGGCAGCTAAAATTTAGCTTAATTTACTCAAAAAACATCTGATGTAACTGAATTTAATTAACATAAATTCATTTTTGTTCTAAGTATCTCTATTATGTTTCCTCCTCTCGGTCATTAAAGTAAGTGGCTGAAATTCTTTCAGTATTACATATCATCTTTTAGAATATTAACTTTTATGTTAATAAATTGAAACGTTTTCAAAAACTAGGTCGCTTCAGTTTAGTAAGGTCCGATTTTTTTCAGATACAATGTAAGAAATTTCATTCTTCTTTCAAAATATTTTGTTTTCTTAATTCAAAAAATTATCTATTTGATCCATAAGACTTATAAAAAATTCTATTGCATCAAGTAAGGAGAATATAATTTTAAATTTAGTAAAGATTGTAATCGATCGTAAAAACAAGATCTTAATTCAATAATTCGGAACCTAAGAGAATTTTCGAAGCCTGCCAGTTTTCATAAAAATATTTCAATTGTTTCATTATTCTTCTTTTCAATAAAGTTTGTTATTAAATTAGTGTGAAGAATAATCTAAAGTTTACGAACTATTGAAAATTTTGAACTCAGAACTTCATTCGGTTCTTTTTTGTTTAATATTTCTTCCGTGATTGATTCATCGAAATTCTAAAACGTTCTTATCGGCAAAAGTTAGGCGCAGCGTAATAAAATTGTCGTTTAATAAACGTTCTGTATTATTGTTATATATATATTAAAAATCGATAATAATAAAGGAAGCTGTCGTCGCTTAATATCACGAAGTATTCAAGTATATATAGTTATGTACCTGAGGTGAAATGCCAAGCATCTTGAGTGACGGTGGTACATTGAGGCTGGAAGGAATTTGTATATGACCGAAGTCTACGGTAAATGCCTCACACCAAATACCAAAATGGCCCAATTGATGAATAGTAATATCTCCGGGTAGCGTGAGTACTATTGTTTTGCGATCATAAGCACGCAATGGTGATTCTCTGCCATTTTCATCCGGTAATCGAATCCCGTTTGATGATGGATGGGCTCCGGAACCAACCCAAAATTTTGCATCTAGCGCATTTCAATATTATCCATCATATATTTGCTATTCACTCAAAAATTGTTTTTTTAACATTATATTTATTCAACACATGCATGGTTTTCCGTTTTTAGAAACATTAGATACTACAGATTTCTTCTTTACCATTTAAATGGCGACCATGTCACGAAACAGCTGATAGTTTCATATCTTTAGTAAAAACCATTCATGCGATGAATGCGCAGACGTAAGAGCCGTCATAATTTGTCAAGCGTACCTACGACTCATACTAAAAACATTCGGCCCGACAAAAAATGATTATAGCATACTTATTGCAAAAAATAGTTATTTACTCACCTGGAGCTTCTCCGTCGTATGAAAAAGAAGGTACCAACAATGTTTGAGCATCAACAACAACAACTGGATCGGAACGAACACCATGAACGCCGTTCAATCCTGCTAATTTTTGGGGTTTTGGGAAATCAAAACCTCGAGGTATTCTTACATCACCAAAGTTAACCTTTAATTGTAAAATCAACGAATTAATTATTTTAAAACAATGATACCATTTTTAAGGAATTAATTTTTTTTTATATTTCGAAAAAATATTATGTTAAGAGTATTCTGGTAAGAGCAAATATATTACAGTCAACTCTGTCTAAAGGTTCCAGGTCGAGACAGGACCATTCGTTAAAGGTTTCCTCCCCACCATCAGCACATCCCCAACGATATATTAAAAAGTTATTCTCCTTAAGGTAGTTGAGTCATGCAAGCAAAATTTCAAGAAACCGTCCAAATGTATAGTATATGTAATTAAATGCATAATGCACATGCTGTTAAAATTTGGAGACAATTTACCACTTCTAACCAAAGATAATTGCAATTGAAAATGACATTTCTACACAGGCGGTATGGGAAAAGAGAGAGAAAACCGCGAAGTTTTATTATTTTTGTATTGAAGAAATTAAATAAACAAATAAAGTCATGCGTGGAAGTAAGTGAGCAATAGCCCGTAAGAGAGGCGACACTAGCGAATCAAAAGATAGCAGTAGCATAAACTATAGGTTGAGAAAGAACTACCTTAAGCGCCAAGGTGCCCGCTAAAACGAAAACATTGCGCAGTATACATAACCTCAAAAAAGAACATAGTATCAAAAAAACTGAATCGTGATTCGTCGCTCGAGAAAGCGGGTGAGGGAATATTCCGGAACCTTTAACGAATGTATCCTGGAACCTTTAGACAGCGGGAACCTTTAGAGAGAGAACCTTTAGACAGAAGCGATTGTAGTATTAAATATTTTTAAAAACCGTGGGTGCTAAAAATCAAGAAATTATTGATCGATTCTGTCCAAATTTTGAAAAACTTTTATATGCATTATTATCGAACGGATGTAAGGGAAGATGTCCTAAAGCGGGTAAATTAACATTAAAGGCCTGAAAATTTTAACTTTTGTTTGACTATAATCACTAATTCGGTACTATAAGGTAGGAGAGTTATTGAACTTCGAAATTAAACAGCAATATCATTGTATTTTGTTTCGAACAATTATTAATTATTGAAAAATAAAAATTTTTCAAAAACCTACTTTGCCCTTACTTCATAGCCTAAAGCGATAAGCATGTGAACCATCAAAAACTCAAAAACATACAAAACTAGGCCGATTCTTTTATCTTGTTTTGGTGTTAAATAAGGTAAAAGATCCCATTAGTGGCATTGAATGAAAAGATGTTCTACTTTGAATAAAAATTAAAAATTTTTTTGATCTAAAAGTGTCCTAAAGATTAGAAATAACATATTCATTATTGTAATTAATGATTTCATTAATTGAATAAGTACCAAAACCAAAGAAAGTGTCAGTAATGGGGTCCCCGCCACTAATGGGGTCGTTTACCCTAGTATCGAAATGATATATTATTACTAACAATATAATTTACGAACAAGTTTTTGACTTATCGTAAGGTACATTCTTTCTGCGACTTTTCCAGATTCATAAATTTTCTTATATTTTACCGAATGACCTCATATTGCAACTCCCGTGCTTGATTAGAACACACTAAAACTCGAATGTGTCCAGGCAACCTTGCCATACGCTCATATTGATAGTCACGTTTAATTAAACAATATACGAGTGCATACCCGCTTTAGGCAGAATACCCGCTTTGAGCTACCTTCTCCTACCAAAAGCTTTGAAAAGTTTGCAAAAATAATAAATTTTTTTAGGAGTTAAAATTGTTGAAAAAAAATGTAATGTTTCAATATGTTATTGAACATTTTACGTTATTTGTTATTTTATACTTTTATAGGTTCATCTTTCCCCGGTGCGTCAAAAATTGTAATAAATTTTTTGTCTTTATTAACTTTTTAAAGTTATCTTTGAAAACATTTGCAAAAGAATCATCTTTAGGTTATTAGCGTAAGTATTTTATGTATACTACGTGCGTGCGCGTTATGACGTCATCAGTCACGAGGCATGCTCAGGCCAGCAAGAGAATTAGCGCGAAAAATTTGAAATAGGAATTACGTCACAATTTGTCTTCTTTAAAAAAAAATTACTTAATATTTTCTCGAACTTATCGATCAATTCATGACTACGCTCGATGTGTTTAACACAAAACGATGATTGAACTCTTTCTACCGGAAGTTATGTAACCATGTCAGCAGTTATAACAATAAAAAGAAATTAACCAGGCGAAATGAAAATGATGATAGTTAGCGGCATTGCATATGAAGTCATTAACTCTGTCCTTGGATTTAGAACCAATAAATAGCTTGTGTATTGTAATTTTCTCCATTCGTTGAGTACTAAATAATATCTTCAGTACATTGAGACTTTTATTTTCTTGCTGAAAGGCATTTAAGTGAATGAAAGTTGGTGTAATATATCACAAATGGCATTGAGACCGAGACTAACTGGCGTTTTATACTCGACGCTCTACTTTGTCATTGAATAACGGAGCAAGAAATATGCGTGAAAGTCGCATCATTGTCATACATATGTATGTAATGGAGATGTTGTTAGATACACTGGGTTATATAGAATAAGATAAAGATAATAAATATATTACTCACTGAGTAGGCGTCGCAATATACGGAAAACCATTTGATGTCTTTCAAGGTCTTTCCTTCCGGTAATGTCAAAGTAATTTTCTTCTTTCGATATTGTTTCAATGGTCCGGTATTACCTTTTTCATCGCGGATTCTAAATCCATTTATTATCGGCGCTCGAGAATTTCCGGCATAAAAATAGGCGGCTGTAAAAAAGATATATTTTTATTTATTGAAAACAATTTTATTTCTTCGGGAAGAAATAAAAAAAATTAGCCGGAAAAATTTATTGAACTTTAGACAGAATATTCTATCGATCAAATGTCAAATGAATTTTGAAAGCTTTAAAATTTAAAAAATAAAATACTCACCAGGACCTTCACCATCGTAGTTGAAATCCTTGATAAACAATGTCCTGGCATCGACCGCATAGACTTCACCGCTTAGACCATGATTTAACTCCGATAATTTGCCAATTAACTTGCCGTAGTAATCCTCACCATCACAACAATCTATTATATAAAATGGGAAATAAAATTTAATTATAAAAACTTTTCAATTTAAGAGTTTATCCTGGTTTGTAACTTTCACAAAAAATATTTGTTTACATTTTTTAAAAGTACATATATCTAAAAGTATTGTGTTAAAATTTCCAAGTGATCGGACCACTGTTACATTATTTTACAATGTTTATGTGGATGTTCGATTAGAAAAAAATCAAATTTTTAAAAAGGCTGGAGGGAATTTGTATGGTTCCAGCATCGCTGATTGACTTTAGGTAAAATTTTTTTCAATTAAAAAAACGTTAAGCCCATTTATTTCAGAACTATGTTTTCTTGGTTGATGTACATGATATCTCCGAAACCACTGACACAATTCTAATGAAATTTAATTCAAATATTCTACATAGTAGTAGCTATTGCATCAGCAATAAGCAATCCAAAATTTTGATTTTTACTATTTTTTTAAGACTAAAAACTGTAAAGAAAAGCCTCATTTTTCAGCTTTTTTCAACGTCTGCCATTTTATTATTTATCAATAAATATTAATCTCCGTAATTGATGCAATAACTAATAGATTGAAGGTGAATAATATTGGTTTTTATGTTTTAGATAAGCCGTTATCAAGTTGTCATATACATCAGCGACACATACCAACTTTTGGAGGAGCTCCGTTCATCCGTTGTTTATTCATATAAAAAATAAAAAAAAATCAATTAAGATATTTTATGTGTTATTCAAAAGTGTATTTGTTGAGCTGAATCAATTTTATGTTAATATTTACAATAGTTTCTGTGCAAAAACATATTGACATTTTTTGAGCGCCGGAACCAGAATGATCCCTTAAACGAAGAATTGTTTCATATATTTTGAATTACTCTACTTTAAAAAATTGCCATACATTCTAACTCTAACATTTCTAGAACCTTGACAAGTCGGCAGAACAATCACATCAGAATTTAGCGAAATCGTTAACCATTGGTTGGCATTATCAGCAATAATGGGGAACGAATACTCAGATGAAACGATTCTCGGTAGACGCGAATGAACGCTCGAAGCATTACACATACATATAATAGTGAATGCTGTACTATAATAAATTTCAATTGCAAGCCAAACTAAACGAGACTTGGTTGGTCTTGTTAAAGAGAGAATGCGCACATCCATGGATGTCGTTAAAATCGATTCGACGGTTAACGGTACGACTGAGACTTTGGACTACTAGAGACTAAACTACTACAACTACAAATACCTTGTTGTGTTCTTGCTCGCAATTGATGCAGAAAAAATACATCAGGACAAAAAAAAAAAAGGAAAAAATACATCGAGACTCTTCTAGTCTGTGTAAAAGACAGTATGTTATTTAAATTCAATGCTATTCACTACACTTCTTCTAACAAGCTTATATGTCTAATGGAATTTTAAAAAGATCACATGTGTGACGCTCGAACTCTTATTTTGCTTTTATTTGTTATTATTCTTATTAGAGTGACATTCAACGGTCGTATACATGTTTATTTATTGAACAGTTTTTATTGTGCTAGACTATTTTATCAAGACTTTATTTATAAGTGTCGCTGTTTGCTGTAATGGAATTATATACTTTTTAGATTGAGTATATTTCTTCTTTGTTATTTCGAGAACTAATATTTTTTTTAAGTTTCCATCTTTTGACAGTCGTTCAATTATTGACACCCTATTTTATTAAAAGATTTATTTAATTACGATCGTAATTTTTTATTCAATCTTTATAATTTGAAGAACTAGAAGAAACTAATAGCTGTAAAGAATATAAAATATTAATTAATAAAAAAAAATTTCACTCAAGGCTATTGCGACTGAAAAATTTCTTAATTATTTTGAAGACAAGCGCTCGAATAAAAAGCTCGCTTTCAATTATTATTTTAATTAATACTTGAGTTGTATTTAGTTCAGAAAATTAAAGACTTTTAATTTTTTCAGACTGTCAATAATTGGTGTGTCCCAATGATTGACTTCATCATTGACGTAAATAAATAAAGTACATGAATTCACTAACCAAAAAAAATAATGGAACTTTAAAAAAATTTAATAAACTTGATTTTAACTAGCAGCCTGCTAGTAGTTGATCATCTTATATTTCGGTGGTGGTGTCGCAAATTACTGGACTCTGTCTCTCTTTTATTAAAATATAGAGTATGCGTCCTTATTCGCTTGCTCTTACGGAAAAAAAATTTACTAAATAACATCGTAATTTTCAATAATTCAAATTGTATTCTAAAGACGGCAGCATCGTAAGAATTTTTATGTTATTTATTACTTACATTATTTGTGATAATTACGATGTTAACATCGTAAAAATTCATGAGTAAACAGTAATTTTCGAAATACAAAATCATAGAAGTTGAGATATTGAAAGACTAGTCCTGAATTACGATGTTACTATTGTAATTTTTCATATGATTTTTTTTCCGTGTAGATTTTATGAAGTCTACCATGAAGTAAATCAATTTTTTCGTAGTTTTTATTTAAAAAATGGTAATAAACAAAAGGGCAGCATTATGTCCCACGACTACAGTAAATTTAACGGTAATTTTTAAAGAAAATTTCTTTCAGTGTAGTTTGGGTACTTTTGAAATAAATTTGAAAAATAAAAGTGCTATGACAGGATCAATTACAAATTATTTAATGGACAAATGTGACGGAAAAAATTTATAGAACCAACAAACTATTTAAAACTCGTCCACAAAACTTAACATGCATAGAAAAAAAAATTAACTTGAATCAAGTGAAAAATTCTTGAACCAAGAAAATAATTTTGAAAAATTTCATTGTCTTGAATCAAGACGAAAAATTCTTGAATCAAGTAAAATTTAATTAAACCAAGAAAAATTTCTTAGTTTAAAAATTTTTCTACTGAAATCAAAAAGATGAAGTTCTTCAAAATTATTTACTTGATTCAAGTTAATTTTTTTTTCTGAGTAGAAAATTGACTATCACTGAAAAGTATATAGAACCGTGAATAGGCACAAATTCTTAGCAAGATCCTTCTGACGATACCAAATTTGACCATAAAAATTCTTTTTAAAATAATCATATACTCGTTACAAAATTTTCCTTACTTTCTTAATCATTTAAATCATAAATGATAATCGCTGAAAAAATATCAAAACTAATTTACGATAAAGATATACCGGTTACAAAATTTTTCTTAGTCTCTTAAGGAAATCCTTTCGCTCCAGTTGAGTCAAAACAATTGTAGTAGTCAATATACGATAAATTAAAATAAAAAATTGTAAAAATAAAAAAAAGCTTTTTAAATTTTTTATGTGATTATTGTAATATAAATTACAATATTTTTTAATGATTTTACATACAATTATGCCGAATCAAATTACAAATAATGTTTGCAAAATTAAAAAGCTTTTTCTTGAAAATTGACGAACAGTTCTGTAATATTACAATGCGTGTTAGGTTTATACAAGAAGATTGTAAAATTACAATACATCTTAGTAGATTTCCTGACAGGGTGTTGGAAAATTACATGAATTGTATTTTATTTAGCATTGCTATACACTGATTTGTAATTTTACAAAAATTTTTAACAGTGTGTAAATAAATAAATTAGTTTGAATTTATTGTATGGTCTGAAGCTCGCGCGATACGCAACTTTGCCAAATGTTTTGACTCCATTTTAACGTAGGTTGCTTGAGAATTTTTTGTGATTTTTAATTATTAATTTCTCAATAAATATCTCGGTAATTGATATATTTTATTGCAAAAAAAGAAACCTGAATATTTTGAAAATCTAATTTTTAGTTTTTTTTTACTTCATCTAATCTATGACTGATAGTATAATTCGAGAAATACTGCAAATGTTTGACTTTCTCGTAAGACTCTGAACAAATACTAACATTTAAAAATTTTATTTTTTCAAAAATTTGTCCGGTAAAGTATAATTTAAACCTCACTATTAGATAAATAAGGACCTTAACTATTAGAAAAAAATTGAATTTACTCATAATCTAATATGTTTTATTTTACATTGGCGGCGAAAGGACCTCCTTAATTGAATAAATTAATTTTTTAAATATAACCACTTTCACATGTACAAAATAAAATAAATGAACGGCGTTTATCGCGAAATTCGAATCTATTTAGAACTACTTCGAAAACTTATCATAATGAATTAGCTATTGCTAAAACGCATATAAAACATTAAAAAGACACAAATTCAGGTCAAGACTTTCCAATGATACTAAATTTAATTTAAAAAACTCATTTTATCTTATAAATACGCTGGAGACAAAATTTTTCTTATTCTCTTTACTATAAAAACAAAATTGTAATCCAAGCTATGTTTCTTATACATTGATAAAAAATTACATTTTGATTTAAGAGAAAAATTCTTAAACCAAGAATATCACTTTCAAAAGTTTGATCATCTTGAATCAAGTAAAAAAATTCTCGAGCTAAAAAGTTGTTCTTGGTTCAAATAAATTTTAATTTATGACTTTTTTTGCTTAATCCAGAGTGATCAAATTTTTCAAAATGATATTGTTGGCTCAAGAGTTTTTCTCTTAAATCAAGTTAGTTTTTTCATCAGTGTTGTGTTAACAAATCAATCTTCTGTACGACTATACTATTTAAGAAAACAATGATTCCTTATTGAATAGATATATTTAATGGTAAATAAATAAGAAAAATAGTGTCAATAATTAATTAAATTAATACAGCTCTTAAATACTTAGAACCTTCTTTGCATTCTATGGAGAGCTTAAAAAAAGTTTCCTGATCAAATAAGTAACGCAAGGTCTTGTACGAAAGGAATGTAAACACAATTTTACGAGTATAAGTAAGTGATATCTGTTATTCAGAACTCCTGTAAGTCCTGGTCTGATGATCATCATCCTTGGAACTTATTTTTGACTTTCTTGCAATAAAAAGAAACTAACAACGTGCAAAGTAGTATAAAAGGGCGTGCTTACATATTCAGCAGTAATATAAAATAAAAAATAAGAGGAAAAATTTCACATGAGTTACGGAGACACTTAAAAACGATGAAAGTCGTTTACGTATACATGTATACATGCATATATAAATGAAGAGTCAGCAAAACGTTTCAGCAAGTTAGCTCGCGTACAAAACGTGAGTTCAAATGAGAATAAACGTGAGTTATAAATCGTGACAATCGTAAATTAAAATCTTGGAATAGAAACAAAAATAATTAAATGTACTATTATTTTATTAATTTTTTGTGTAATGACTTAATAAGGATAATAATTAATAATGTATTAAATGTTATAAAACTAATTCATTTTTTAAAATGTCTTGTAGAACAATCTAATAAAAAATTTTATTATATTTGACCTATTTTTTGTTTAAATTTTAAGAATAAACTTTCTTTATTTTCATTACTTTTTAATTGTTTCTTTTTCATATATTTTTGCTTCGAACTTTTTGAAAAATATAAGATATTTTTCATTTAATTACAATTAATAATTTTAAGATCAAAAAAATTTTCTTAAAAATCAAAATATTTAAAAATAATAAATTAGGTCATACTTTTTTTTTTAGTTTAAATACAAAGTTAATATAAAATAAATTTTCATCTAGAGATTTAATTCAATATATAAATTTCTATAATAATTATAACCACAATTATTAACTAATTACTATAAATAAATAACATTAAAGAATGAAAAAAAAGTAATCAAGAAATCATAAATAACACTAGAAAAAGGAGTCATCAAAAGGCAATAATAGAGAGATAATGAATAAAAATAAGAGTCAAGGTATCGAAACAGGTAGATGTACTTTTTATGAACGTAAATATACATATATATATAGTGATCGTCTGACATTTGCAGGAGGAGAAAGCAAGACAAATGTCTGGATTGGTAAATAAACGTATGTCGTAACAAATATATATATAGACATATATGCTTCTTTATGTTATAAATGTATGCGCATTACTTTCATCTATTTTATCTCCTATTCAATCATATTTGTCCCCTCTCTTCCTGCTCTGAAAGGACTGATTTTATTTATGACTCAAAATTTCGAATTTAGGATAATTTAGAGACTCATCTTTCGTAAATTATAATTTATGATAATTTTTTAGCAACAGTATTTAAAACAGAAAAAAAATTAAGCTTTTTATTTAATTTACGGAGAAAAAAGTTGGAATTTAAATTAGATCGCATGCTAATCCGGAGAAATTATCGTGTGTTAAGTCATTTATAATTTATCTATTAAACAGAGCAAGAAAAATTTCTAATCCGTAATTTATTGTTTAATTATTAGTATTAGTGTTAATATTGCAATTATAGTTAATAATTGAAGGATAAAGTGAATTCGGGAAAATTTTCATTTTTTTTTATAGAATTTCTATTTTTTTTTATGTAATTAAATTTCTGATAAATCTGATAAAAAAAAATTATTATAGATCAAAAAGTATTTTGAAGAAAATAAATTTTCATGAATATAGCCTCTTGACTTTTAGAGTTTTTCATTAAGACGTTTATGTCTATGGTCAGTAATTATTGTCACTTTATTCGAGTGCATGTGAATTTCAAACGATAAAAATTAATTTTTCAATCAAAAATTTTGTTTTCTTTAAAGAATTTTATTTTCTTGTTTCAAGGAGCAGTTTCTTCACTTAAAGCATTAATAATTAATAAAAAATTAAATTTCCATTCAAACAAAGGAAATTTTTCAATTGATTCAGAATGTAAAATAATTTTTTGTTGAAAGTCAGGAAATCTGAGAAATTTTCTTGGATTTAGCAAGATACACCGCTAGAAAAACCGATTCTATTCAAGAAAGCAATTATTCTGAAGAATATGGGTTGTCTTAAAAAATTCTCTTGGTTTCTAAAGTCTTCAATTTAGACATATTTTTCTACGGTTGCTAACTATTATTACTTTATTCAGAATTTTATAATCTTCATTCAATAGAATCAAATTTACAAGAACTAACAAGTCTTGAAAACTAAAAATTAACTTCTTTTCTTACAAAAAATTTATAACTATAGTTTAAATTTTAAGTAATCCTTATTTCGTAAAAAGTAGCAGAAAAATTTGTAAGAAAACGAAGACCGAAAATTTTGGAACAAGAACGAAAGTAATTTTCTGGGATTTTTTTTTTCACAAATTTCATACACAAAAAAGTTTATTCAAGTGAAGAAAATTTTCATATAGTCTCAAATTGTTTTAGAGCAAGAACAAAATTTATTTGAATGAAGAATTTTTTTCGCTCAAAAAAATTTTACTTTAAACAAGATAATTTAGTTTTTTTTTTAAATGTTCTCAATGAAGAAAATTTTTTCGACAAAGAATTTTTTTTTTTGTGCAGGAATAAAAAAATTTTTTGTCTAAAATCCCTCATTTTCCCAAAAATTTTGCGTTTAAAAAATAAAAAATTTTCATTTGACAATTCAACTTCTCGATAGTACAAATAATTGAAAACAAAAAACTAAAAAAATTTTAAACCCACTAGTAAGTGAAAATTAAAGCAAAATAAATTCGTCTTCTTCATCTTCCAGAAATAAAAAAAAAAAAAAAAACCCAATTATCGGAATCACACAAAAAAAAACTAAAATCTGTGATAATAAAAAGAAAAAACGAAATAAAACTTACGTGCAATTAATAAAACTAAAAACACAAAAGATTTGTAGGAAGATAAATAGTAAGGTGTCTTCATGATGTCTTGATGTAAACTGCGTTGTTGAAAGTGTTCTCGAGATCTCTCAGTAAATATTTTTTTCTCTCTTTCTTCTCTTTCCTTTTTTTTAGTCAGGTACCTTTTGCCGATGGTTGATCCCACTCTCGAGTCAACTCTTTAGAACTGTATACCAACAAACATCACCAGGAGCACATCACATCATCATTACAAAGTAAGAGTAAAAGACCAAGAGTAGACAACACAAACAACACACACAGTCTGTGCCGGCAGTCAGGTATATAATACCATACCATACCAGTTACACCGACTAGTTACATTACAAGATACTCAACAGCTTCTGACAATGCATTACCTCTCTCTTTTCCCGTATAAAAGTTTAATTAAACACCCATACGCCCGCACGAGCACGCAAGAGATCTATAAACACTCGTGGTGTAGATTTGTTTTTTTTCTTTTTGATAAAAACTTTTTATTGATCATCATCACGATCATGATTATTATCACTGTTATGATTATTATTACATATATGGTAATTATAAAAATATATCACGAAGAGAGGTAGACGCTCAAGATGTAGCTACTCTCTACTCTCAAGATCTTTTTGCTTCGAGAGATTTTCTCTTGCCGCACTCTTTCACTCCTAAGGCTAATGGCCTTTTTTAACACGCGATATAATACTTTTGTAATAAGAGAAAATTACTTATTATTTTATTTAAATTTTCATTTGTTATTAGTTGTAATTATAATTACAACTCTGGATATTAAGAACACCGACAGAAAGACGTTACAATGTATATATATATATATATATATATATATATATATATATATATATAT